AAAAAATATTTTATTCCAGTCCAAATCAGCTCAATTACTTAATAAAGAGTTATTATATAATGTACAATATGTTGATACAATTTGATGAATATTTACAGCGACGGCTTCAATACCGTAGACGATTTTGGCCCGATCGTCAACAAAACATCACCCGTCTCCAGGGCAGGCGACTGGAAAAAAGACACTGGTGTTCGGTCGAACCTGTGGAAACAAAATCGTCACTCCCAGAATAACTATGCAAAATAACAATCTAAAGTCGAGCCACAATATTAACATAAAAATGACTTTCGTTGCATTTGACAATGATAAACTTACCGAAAAGCCGTGTCATTCTCGGTCGCTAACGTCGGTATAATCCGCCATTTTATTTGAGTCTGTTTGCAGCCTGACTCTGCCCGGTGACGTCATCATGTGCGCTATAGAAGGAGGTCTGTGATTCGTTGACTAAAATCGTCGATAGTGGGTCTCGTTGAAATCTTGTTACATAGGCATCGGGTCAGATGTAGGTAGGGCGGAATTTAAAAAAATCACAAAATCAAAATCAAAGTAAAATAATAAAATAAAAGGGCATTAATAACAAAAGTAATAAAAAATAAAATTAAAATAAGTTTATAGCCAAAATAATTAAAGCCCGTACACTACATCAGATTTTAATCAGATTGATTTTGTCAGTGTTTGAATGTTTGATATCAGTAGTTGTGATAGACATATATCATGATCATAATTGGTTGATAACCTTAATTTAATAATTATTAAACAGATTGTAACAAACTCACTATACTTATGTATACTCATTGTACTTCATTTTAATAAGCTATAAGACCACTCAAAGCTGATTGATTAATGTTTTTAAAATGGCCTCTCAAATAAGTGCTTCTTATAGACTTTTGAAAATCGATAAATTTATTTATTTTCTAAGATGATTAGTGTAGTTCAAAATTGCCCTTTTAGAAAGCACTTGTTCGGACATCATTCTATTACCGGTAGCTTTTATACACATATACGTTTTTATATTCAGACTTTTTTTCTTGCAGGCTCACCCTAATAGTTCTGATTTCAATTTAATGTGGACTGGATCCCATGTTAAACCTTTTACATTACGAAGTCTCACAGAATTTCAGAAAGTCAATCACTTTCCAAGGTAGGTCAATCACTGGTTTTTCATACCCAATAGTGTGCCTGAACTCATTATTGTAATTACAAACTTCTTCCAGTTATTTTCTTCTCGCAATCAGTCTGTATTCACAGCTGAGTTTAATAGCAATGGTGCATTGCCACTCATCTTTAGAGTGTGGTAGAACTGGTGTTTATTGTTCAATATCTAACTGCCACTCAAAACTTAATTGCATTCTTAGGTCTTATGAACTTACAAGAAAAGACAGGTTATACAAAAATATACAAAGAATGCAACATTCCAAGGTGGGTTGACCTCATTTCTCTAGTTTTCTTTTCTATTGAAAACATTCTATTGTGTTGTATACATTTATATGTTTATTTTATTTTGTTTCACATAATTTTATTTTCTATTGAAAAGAAAGCGTCTTCCTCACAAATGTTCATGGTCCTTCATTCAGTGATCTCCATTCTTTAAAGCTTTTTTTCATATTCATATTTCCTGTTTTATATATTTCTCCAGGGTGTGAAGCAATTTGACTTCATTCCACAAAGTTTTATCTCACCAAGCGAATTTGATGATTTTAATGGTAAGTATTTTTGTTTTTATGTTAAAAACCTATTTTTATGCGTATAGTATAATTATTTTTTCATCCCTTACAAATCTTACCAGTAGTTTTGTATACTATGACTTTATTCATGAAGTGCATATGGGGTTTGACATTGTTTCTGTTCCATGTTATAGGTGCACATTTAAAAGAAAAAGGGACCTGGATAGTAAAACCTATTGCATCATCAAGAGGCAGAGGAATTTTTCTTATAAACCATGTAAGTTCATTGTCTGCAATTGGCTAATTCTGTGTGCTGCATACACGACCCCCTCAATTAATTAACAATATATATAAAGATGATAGAAGCAACCATTGTTATGTATAATTTTGCCATGATAACATACATAATCCAATTATTAATTAATTAATTATTCTGGTGAAAACAATTCATTTTCCATAATAGTAACATATTTATTACCTTGCATGTTTTCCCCAAATATAAGTACAAAGATCATCAAAACAATGCTTGACTGTCATTGTCCACTGTATTTAATATAATCAAGACTCCACTATATTATTTATGAGATATTTAATTATTTTAAATATATTTACTACCAGTAATAGCCTTATTCTGCACTGCACTAAGGATTAATACTTTGTGCACATATGTACTGTGTATATTTGTGCTAATTCATCAGTTTTTGATGTAATATATACCGTATAACCAAAAGCAGATTTGAAAAACAGTACATATACATTAAAATCTTTAAATGGTATCCATGGATACAAATAAATACAACATTATTTTAATGACTGGCAGGAGTCTATTCAATGAATTGACATTCTGTTAATGTATGTGTTGCAGTTATTGATTTTGTTTATTTTCACAGCCACAACAATTACCGCTAGATGAAACACTATTGGTTGCTAGATATATTGCCAGTCCTTTAACTATAGATGGTAGGTTCTTCTTTAATTCTCAACATCAAACCAAATACTGCTGTAAATGACAAATATTTGAATTACATGTTCGTTTTGCTGATGTTTATAATTAAATCATTATTTTGGTGAATAATTTATTTTATCATTAATCATTATTTTGGCTAATTTCTTTTATTGTTTATTTGATGACTAATTTTTTTTAGCATTATCTTGGCTAAGTTGCTAATTTATTTCAGCATTGATCACTTGTTACTTTTATGTAGACAAAATAATATTTAAAATTACCCAAGAGCATGGGTGAAAACTTTGATATTTGATATAAAAATAATACTTTCCCAAAACAAATCTTGTATTTACCTTTATAACAAATTTGAACAGTGCAATAAAATATGGTTTTGATCTGATCACTAGGGAATTAGGTGTGAAAATTGCTGATTCAAAGTGGATTAATCTGTGTTGTCGTTTTACAGCCACATTTACAGCTGACATACCTGCTGTTCTGTACACTGTATATTTTCTCTATTCACTTAGTTATGCAGCATGTTTTAAAGTTGAAATTGTAAAGAACTTTCATTTTGTTGTAGGTTTCAAATTTGATCTTCGTATTTATGTAGCAGTTACTTCATATGACCCTGTCAGGATTTACATTTATGAAGAGGGCTTAACCAGGTAAGTGATTTGTACTGTGTCACGTACCAAGACTGCCCTCAATTTGTTCAATTCAGTCTTCCACTCTTAGTCATAAATTGTCATATTTTGGTACGAGATAATGTTTGTTTTCAAACTCAAATATCACAGTGAAAATAAACAATCACTGGTAACGTATTGGAAATCTGCATTAACTTATCACAAAAAAGAAATGAAATGATTCATCAAACTTCGTATCTGTTTGGTCAGTTAACCTCATAACCTAAATCTTATGCAACTTAAATATATATATATATTGAGCATTTGAATAAGCACACATTTTCTTATCTTCAAAGTGATATTTATGCAAATAAAAGGTATGTTTTAAATTTGGTAATGCTAAATTACAATGTTTTTACTTGCAAGTTACTTACTTACTAGTTTTGTGGGCCTAGTATCAGATTACTCTTGATCTTCTTTTGTTCAGAACCATTCGTTTTCAATAAATTCAATTTTAAATGGGAACGTCACTCATGCAAGCTTCTCAAAACTATGTATAATAGTTACACTGAGAAGTAAAGTTGTATGTTACTACACAAGTGATCTTAACAAAAAAAATACTGTGTAGAAGATACAATGAGGACAATAAGATGACAGTACGTGTCCACTCAGTAGTTTGGTTTTGCAAAGAATGACACTTATAGCACAACTATACCACAGCTGCATGCTTTAGACAGAGAATGAAAAACGGTGACAACAACGGATTGTTGAAATAAAAAGTCATGAAACTAATGAATTTAAAGGTTTATCTTCTGGCACTATTGAGTGGTGTAGTATTGTGATAGGGTATAGAAGTAAATAATTTGGGACTGCAAAAAATATTATATACACAATAGGTTCTTTGATAGAGAAAGATATAATGTATTACTGACAATTATTGACTGCATGTTCATTGTTGAGTAGTTTTGGAAATCATTGTGGCATATAAAAGTTGTGAATAGTTTACAAGATATATGCTAGTTCAAGAAGTTGAAGGTGGAATTTTGGGTATTTCACTCTCAGTAATATTAATAATCATTATTTTGTAGCAGAGTTTTATTGGTACCAAGTAATTTAATTTTGGAAATGGTTGTCTACATACATTGTGTGTTGTTCTTTTCAATGTCAGGGTGCACAGTTTTCTGTGATTGTAAATTATTTGTGTTCTTTCCTATACAAAGAAATTGACTGACCATTGCAAAGCTTGCATATATAGTTACACCAATATTTAAACTTTAAGAACACAAGAGCACTTTATATACCTGGATTTTTCGATTTATATATATTTACAGCAAATTTTCTGTGTATTTTTTGCCATCTAGGTTTGCTACTGTGCAGTATGATAAAAGTGCCAAGAGTATCCGCAATACTTGTATGCACTTGACGAATTATAGTATCAATAAAAAAAGTAACGATTTTGTTAGGTAAGTACATGCATTTTGCAAACTATGTTATCACAAAAGTAATAAGAACACTATTTGCAATGAGTGTTCTACTTTCTGTGCATTGACACATGAGAGGTTGTACTTTTCATCTGTTTTAGAGAATTCATAATTATGCATTTACTAAAAGTTTATCTGTATTATTGTGTTCCTTTAAGTTGTTTTTCATTTGTCTCCTAAAGGTGTGATGATCCGTCCATAGAAGACTATGGCAATAAATGGAGTTTAGGTGCAGTAATTAGATATCTTAAGAAACAAGGAAGGGATGTCACAAGTAAGTGCTCTACTTCTTTATGTTAGATGACTGCCATTATGTGTCTCACCTACTATTTTATACTCTATATCTACTAATTCTACATTTGCAACAAATAGAGTGTACATCAGTCTAGTATATAAACAACCATCCTTTATTTTACCCCCGGTATAAATCATTGTTCACTATACTCCATGCCTCAATAGCAGTTGTTAAAATAGAACTGATGCAATCAAAATTTGTCATCAATTCAAAGCAAAAAATTTATTTCAACACTACAACATTTATAAATATGGCTGTCACTATTTTAGTTTTTGTCACATGATGTAATGCTAGTGACATCATTGTTTTTCTTTCATTTCAACTATTTTTGGAGGCTTTCAACAGGCAATGTGTTAATCTAATCTCTTTATTTCACTAGATTTGGTTTCTAAAATGGAAGACTTGGTTATCAAGACAATATTGGCTGGTGAACTTCCAATAGCCACAGCATGTAAAATGTTCATGCCCAATAGAGGAAACTGCTTTGGTGAGTATAGAAATCATATCTTCCATTATCTGTCTTCCATCAACTGCAGAATTTCTTCCTGTGTTTTTCTTGTTTCACTGTTCTCCATGCAGCACTGCAGCAATAACTTTGCAATAAAAACTGAACACATTTATCTAACAGAACTATATGGTTTTGATATTTTGGTGGATGACAATCTAAAGCCTTGGTTATTGGAAGTGAATCTTTCTCCATCATTAGCATGGTAAGTTTCATTGCCTTTGTTTCATTCACAGTGTTTATATTATGTCACCAGTGATTGTCAGTGTAGGTCTTGTACTAAATTAGTAGTCAGTATTGTACCAAGCTTAGAAAGGAAATTGGCACATACATTTTGAACACTTTTACCAAATTTTGTGTGTCAGGATAAATCACTGAATTTTGTTAACATTTCACTGGAATCCTTGAGGAAGGTTTTCGCAAACAAAAAAGCAAATAATGTTTGTGATTTTCAGTATGACGTTTAAGAAATTCTCACTTATAATAAATATGTATTTGATTTTCAGTGATGCACCTTTAGATATGAAGATTAAAGCCAATATGATTGCTGATCTTTTCACACTAACAGGTAAATAAGTGGTTTTATCATGACAATATCTTATTTTACTGCACCTGTACACATTCTGCTGACATCAAGTGCCATTATCATTGCTGTGACACTGGCATGTTGCTGAATTTTGCATGTATTTTACATATAGCATAATTTCATGTCCACCTAAACTAAGAACAATGCATCTCCTGTCAATTCTTACAAGCAAAGAGGCAAGTTTTTTCAGTTCCATATCACAAAGAACATTTAATTGTAGGCGTAATCTGAGTGGAATTATTTTTAATATGAAAATTGGGCAACACAATTACGTGTTTGTGTTTGTTTATTTCTGCTTTTGACAGGCATTTTGCTTTTATACTTGATACATTTGTCTTTGAGAAAATTTCATCATTTTGTGATCATAATTTCAAATGAATATTATTTGTAATTTTTGATCAAAAATGTTAATTTTGTCTTCTTCTTGAAAACTTCTACTTTTATACTTATATATGTGTATTTTGTGTTGATATTTTCAATTAAATTTTAGTGAATATTTTTAGTGAAAATTGACTTCTAATTGATGACTGCTAGTTTGATTGAATTGATACTTGTTATATGTAAATGTACCTTGGATTAGATCATTGTGTGACATAAAGGGAACTCTCTGCTAATTCTGACATATCCTATAACTGTAGTTGATGAATCCAAAACTCTGGTACTATTAAATGCATCCCAAACACAAGTGTTCCTAGAGTTGAATGTAAACAAAGCCAAAGTTTTTTATTATATTGCCCTGTACTCTGCTGAAACAGTAGAACTATTTCGACCTTTAGGTCACTTGTGTTTTGCTATTTTTGCTTGTTGGCTTGTTTTTAATGGTTACATTGGTAATACGGTACATATTTGTTAACCCAATAGGTTTCATTGCACATGATCCAATGGTGAGAAAAACACAACAAAGTAAAAGAAACCAAGAACTAGCAGCTTCAAGTGCACTCAGGCAACAGGTATAGAATATCTTGATTTATTCTTGTCATCACTCTTTAACAATCACCTAATGAATATATGGTCATTTTAAAATAAACATAAATACTGATGATTTCAATATGGTTGCTGTGTTTTTCATTCCATCCATATTCATTGCAAGTCAAACCCCAATAGCCCTACATTATGTTGCAATGTACTAGTATATACATGTGCAATTGATCTCTTTTTGTGAATCATTTATTTGTAGCTGAAATAATTCCTACATTTTTACAACATACTTAGATGTAACTCTGACATTTTTATGCACAATTCACTATCAATATGGTTATGTTAATGTATCACTTTCCCTCACCCAATCAAGATACCTAGCTCCCCCACATTGCATTTATGTCGTTACTTCAATCTAATATTAATTATAATAATCCATGCAAACTCACTCACACTATGACTTCACAACACTGTCACATACTTTTAATGTAAAAAATTGTTTTGAGCACATTTTATTTCCTTGGCACATTGCAGAAGGAGAGAGTAGGCTCAGAGCTAGTGGTAAGTTGTAGTACAATAGCAGTAACATAATGGTGACTAGCGCACTGGGGTATAATTACAGCTACTTAATTGAACTAAGTATTCAATGTTTTCATGGTAACTAATAAATGTATTCCCAGTTTTCATATTATAATCTAGTTTGAATATCCACCCATCCTCCCATTTCTCATTTAATGTTTGCTTTTGTGTGTTAACATTCAATTGATGTGTAAGGGTACATCCTGAGAATTAAGTGCCATTGAGTAACATATAATAATACTATTGAGTAATTACTGACTCATGCCTGATGGCAATGTCATCTCTACTACTATCAGAACAATTAATATCATTTTTCACAGTATATCATCACAGTACACATACAGATTGTATTGAGGTGGTATGCTAGTAAGTAATAGAAAACATGGAAAATTTAAAAACACCACATATTGTTGATATTTTGATGAGTGAAAGTTTAAATAAGTGATAACGATAGAGCTAGCAAATCAAAAGAGGGCCAAATTACACAAACTAGTTTTCATGGAAATAATGTCTGTGATTTCTCCTTTTGTGCCAAGCCATACTCTGGCGGCTATTTTGAATTCACACCTAACAAAAGTGTACATTAGTATTTGAAGAATCCAAGTACAGGGGCGTTATCTAACTTAAAACCCAATGCCTCATACTTTTGTACTTTTGAAGGCATTTAGTGGGTTTGTCAACTATTCTGCATGAAAATCTGTAATAAGAAAGGAAACCATGATTGTGTTTTTAAATAGAATATGCTATAATAAGAGTCCTAGAACATTAATTACCAAATGTGTGAATGTGAACTTGGTCTTTTTGCAATTGTTCAACTTAGACAACTTAAAAATGTTCATGATACAATGAATATTAAACATCATATAAACCGGGACAAAAAGATGATGGCACAACATCCAGTATCCTCAATTTTTTTATTATAACTTTTGAATATTCAATTAAGTGAAATAAGTGTTTTAGTCACATCCATCTTTAAGCTTGAGCAAATGTCATAGACTGGTTATCTTCTCTCCATCATTCAATATGGACAAGCATGTTGCCTTTTTAGTCAGTCCTTGGAGCATCTGTATTTTTATTTTGCATAAAAGCAGGATGATACTATTAGTAAACCAGTTCAGGATGATAGAGAACAAGAAACACAAACACAACCAGAGCAAAGAAAAACACGGACACGCTCTCGGCGGCGAAGAAGGGTAAGAAAGGGTGGCATGCACGGAAAATTATCTGTTTGAAGTGCTTTTATAAGCATGCCATCTGATTGATGTGCACCCATCCAAACATTGTGCTTTCCACCTAGCATACAGCACAATATAATGCAAACCAAATCACCTTACTAAAGATACCACAGTTATTTACTGTCAATCAATACTTTATGTATTTTTTCCTGTAATTCAGTATTTTCTATTATGGTTTATAATATTATTATTGTATTTTTTAATCGATAATATTGAATATAATTATATTTCACTGAATGTAATCTGTCAAAACAAAATTCATACTTTAGTTCTACTTCATAAAAAGACTTATTAAAGCATTTATTTTGTTTGCACATTTGTTTTACATTCAATCTAGTAGTTATGGATCTCACAATAAAGGTCTATATATTGAAATGCACACTTTGAATTATTGATGTAAAATATCATGCAAGAATCAAAAATGCTCTCACTTTGTCCCGCTTTGTTATATATAGTTGTATCATTTCTTTCTGTTGTCCGTAAACCTATCAGTCTGAAAGGTCAAAGGTTAAGTGGTATGTCGGACAGTAAAAAGGCTAGCACTATTCAGTTTGATATAATATCAAGACAAAAAAGAAATTGATGCAAAACTTATAATAACCACACATTGTAGCGAGTTTGAAAAGACTCTTTGCATGTTTGGTGTTTTGGATATCGCTATTTTCATATTATCATTGAACATGGTGGACTTCACATTATTTTTGTTGTCAGTGACACCTCATGACCATTGACATTTTAGAAACATGGTTACCATCCATTGAAATTGCTCCATCCCCTTCCCTCCCATCCTTAATTTAATATTAACCAGCATAATTTCCTTTCAGGATAAAAGTAATGATGTTTTTGGGTAAAAGGTTTTTTGATAGTCTCTGTCTCTGTGTGGTTCATTGTGTATATTAAAAGTTGCAGATTGTTTCTGATGCTTGAGACTGTTATGTGAAATGTTTTTCAATGTGAATCTTCCCAAGTTGTGGGAAATATTTGCCCTTGCTTTGAATTATTGTAAGCTGTCTTTAGAAAAAAAAAACTTTCTTAAACTCAGTATCTAAATTTGAGTGATAGAGAAGCTATGTGATTAAAATCTCTTCAAACCGGTCTTAATTGTAAGAATGACAATTAGGTCTTCTAGGCCTTGATTTGGGTGAGGGATAGGCAAGTCACTTGCCTTAGAAAGTAAGGTCTGGTGCATCATAACACTATTTGCTAATAAAATGAGATATGAACAGTCACTTGATGTTTGAATTATAAGTAAAAAATTCTTGCAATTCATGTAACAATTCTTGTATGATTCTCATAAATCTCAGAGTATAACATGAAGACTAAAGACTTCACTGTTGTTTGCAGTATTACACTATTTCTGTATTAGATTCATAATTTATTTGTACACCTACTTATACATTTATGTTTAATTTTAATAGAAACAGCGTCCACAATCAGCCGGAACTGTCAACCCCAAGAATTTTACAGCTGTTGGGGCTCGTCCAAATTCAAGCTCAGGCCGTCCTGGAAATGACAATCGGTTAAATGCAGAGGAACTTCGAATCATTCGAGAAACTAAAGAGGAAAATCAGAGGAGAGGGGGTTGGATTCGAATATTTCCTTCTCCGGAAAGCTGGGAAAAATATGGGTGAGTTCAATTGTGTGAAATGTAACTATGTGACTTTATATTTATTTTAATTGTAAGATTTTTGTTTTTATTTGATATGTAGAAAACATACAAGATAATATAATTATTTCACAATCCCAAATAACCTGGTGGTCGTTTTTGTTGTCAAATTGCAAAATATATTTCCTTTCAGACCAGTTGTGCTCTATTTTTGTGTTATTGCTTGAGACCACATGGCTCGATTCAATTATGAAATTGGTTTGTTTTAAATGCATATTTTAGAATATACTGTTATCTTTTTTTATATAAATAATATCTTTATTATGTTTTTGTGCATTCATAGCTAAACAGGTCGTAAATTCGCAAAATAAATTGTAAAAAGTTCTGAAATGAATTGAAACCTGTAGCAGACAAAGTATTGATTTATGTCAATGTTTTTCCTTTCTTTCCCTAATAGTAATTTTTTAGAAAGTCGGACAACGCACAATGAAATGTTACACAGAAAGCTGTATCCTGATAGGTAAGAAATGCACCAATCAAATGTTGTAATGCTTCTATTTATGCTGACATTTTTACGTTACACTCATTACTAAAAATACAAACTCATTTCTCTGTGTACTCTTCTTTTTGTTGCATTCTAATACAGCATTAGCCTTTCATTCAGTAGCATATTCTTGAAAAATATTTTTGTTCATTGTTTGGTTGGTTTCCATTGACAACGTTTGCGATGGTGGTTGGGTATTTTGTGTGTGTGCTGACTTTTTCTTTGTAGTGTTGCAGTTAAAGAACATCAACGACCTGACATGCATCGGTCGCCGACCCAATTGTAAGTCTAAATAACAGTCAGTATGTTCAAGGTTCCAGGCACTTAATTTAGTTAATTTCACATTGCAAAATATACCCTTAGTCAGTGAGCTTATAAAGTGTCCCTCTCATAGTTTAATTTCAGTTTTACTACTTTTAGCTGAACTTCAATGTTGTCAACAGTAATTTTCTTTTTCGAATATTAGGCATTCTTTTGTTGAATGTTGAATTAATCCCATAATTTCCAGGTAAATTGAAACCCCTATTTCCTAATTGTTACCCTTCTTATTCCATCTTATCCAGGTAAATTGATACCCCTTGTTTCTTAGTTATCATTCCCTAGCTGATACCCATCCTATCCCTAATTTGTAGCAAAATTGAGACCTTAATTCCCTTCATTGTTATGATCTAATCCTATAACTCTACTCCTGGACAACAAAACCAAGGTATATAACTATAGATCAGTGTCTGTGTTTGTCCTCAATATAAAAACCCATAAAAGTAAATTATCATTAGTTTTAACCAACTCTTAATGATGATAGGTAATGTAAGAAGCCAGTGTTATCCAACATCCCAAGGAGTACAAACTGTCTAATCTCTCTAATTCTACCAGGGTATTGCTTTTATTACCTGTAATGTATTTTCTTGCTGTGGACCATGCACCATATTTCTATCTCATTCACAACCATGTGAAAAACTTATTACCATGTACTAGCATGTATGTATGCATATACCAGATATAGCAGTCTGTGTTACCAGTATTATTTAAATCTCTAGTGTTAATGATATACATATTGTACATAGTTGGATTCATTTGCTCATCACACTGCTCATAACAGCATTAAATCACCTTTACTTCTCATCAGACAAACATCTGAATAAATTGCATGACCATTCAGCTGTCTCCGGCCTAGATAAGACACACTGCTAAAACACCATTGCATGGTTAACTTAAATTGATAAAATGTTTCAAATTAAAAAATAAGGTGAAATATATGTAAATTATGTTACCAGTACATTGAATAATGCAATGTTTACACAGTCCATATCGTGGCAGGAATACCGCCCTCTATGTCAATGTCCCTATTCTGGTCAGCATCAATTTTTCAACACAAAAAAAGCAAGACCATTAAATGATTTTATCAAAAGAATATTTGTTCACTTTTTTCACAGTGAGAGACATTATTTTCCCCAGAATCTTCTAGTAGTTGTGCAGGTTAAAAAAAGATGTTCCAGTTATTTCTACAACAGAATAACAAAAATTACAGCAGCTGGTATCTGTCAGCTCTTGTATCAGTGGTATACTGGGTAGTCTGAACAATATACAGTCAATTAATTTGATTTGTTGTGTGATTTTTTTAACCAGTTGAAATGAACATGCTTTCATTACTTTCCCTAATTATTGCAATCTGTTTATGCTGAATACAACTATATGCTACACTGCATTTTGTTGTTTACAGGAGGCTAGCTTTCATACAGGATCAAATGACAATGGTCAAGAAAGAACATATGGTACAGTTTCAAAGAAAGTTGTCTACGATTGATAATAGAGCAGATAGGAAAAAACTTAGAAACTCAGTTTCAAAGCCACCAAGACCTGCATCAAGTAATAAACCTGTGACAACTACTGGTAAGAATAGAATATTTAACAGAGTTTAAGTTGAGCTCAAATTTTGCACTTCTGAGCTTGTTACTAATGTGGCTTCTTGTGGAAGTGGAACATTGAAATTGTTTTCCCAAATAATCGATTATCATTTTACCAAATTATCATTTAAAAAAAATATAATAGTCTATGCCTAGTACCAGTACCTTGATTGCCTTTTTAAAGACTGATTTTAATGTCAATTTTTTTTTGAATAATCAGCTTGCATCGATTGTTATTGTACTGGACATAGCAGCAGACATGACGAAGATGTCCATTTCTGTCATGCATACTAGTACTGCTTCCTCTTCACCAACTACATTGTACTCAGAGATTTTAACGATATTCATTATATTATATCAGGAACCTTAATTATTAACAATTGCTTGATTACCAATGTACGTTTCTTGTCCGCAGTTAAAGATAAGCCGCAAGAAAAGAAAGAAAGTACAACCCGAAATAAACGAGAAACTTTAGCTCAGGGAGAGTTGAAAGTAGAAGAAAAAACAAAAAAAACAAGCACATCATCGATGCAACAAGCAGAAACTAAACCCAAAACGACATCCACAGGAACAACTAAGGCAGAGAAGGAGAATGTGACTGAGGTGAATGGGAAGGCAGCAACGGACACTGACAATGCTGACAAACCTGCCTCTGAGTCTAATAATAACAGAGAGGTGTTGAAAGAGAAACCTCCAGTACCACCTAAGCCAAGGATAAATGTTAAAGAAATTATTGACAATGGGGGAGAACTCAGGTAGTGTACTTTGGCAGTATGAGTCATCTATGTAGTTACATAGCTACATATTAGTCATATTCACTCAAGACGAGTCACATAGTACCTTTTCAAGATATAACACATTGAGTGAAACTACTAGAATAATGACTTCTGTATAAAAACAAGTGAACATCATCTCAAATATATGCTTGAAGTACAACAAAATTAAATAATAGTTTTGTAGGTGTATTTTTCATCTCAGGCAACTGTGGTGCATTGGTTGCATACAGTACAATTATATGAAGCCACTTTACAATGTATTAGATTAGCCTGTAGCATAAAACTTATGATGCTGGGTTTTTATATTTAGACCACTGATTGGAATATATAAAAAGTGCGATTCATTGTTCTTTAGTAAACTACAGGCTAGAGAAGCATTTGCTGCATACCTAATAAGGGTACAAAGAAGATTGAATGAAGAAGTGTACACTGGTAAAATAGAAAGCGAGTCTGACTCATTGCCACAGGTTAATACAAACACATATTGGACATTTCACTTAATAGAATTATATTTTAATCTTTCCTTTTTCTCTTTGCATGTGTGTTTGTCGTTGTTGTGGTTGTGATGCATGTGATGTTTTTTTCTCCTGTGTGATGCTTGTGCGACTTTCACAGTAAGCTCCAGGCAAGGCATGCCTTTGCGACCTATCTCTTACGAGTGCAGCTCCGGCTTATGGAAGAGACAAACCGACCAGAAGAGCGTACCGATCCAAATGCTCGAAATGATGAGCAAATGGTTAGTGCAGCTTTGCGGATAGGCAATGAGGTACCAACCACTGTTCATCATCTGTGTCAGTAGCCATGCAGCACCTGTCAATGATGTGGAATATATTTCTGCTTCCCATATAAAAGCTCTTCACTAGAACTTGTAATCTGCTTTCTCACATAAATTATGTAAATTAGATAAAGTTTGTTTTCACTATATACCATAATTTGTTTACTAGTATCTAAAAATGCACCAACACTGTTGTAAACTGCATTGGTCATGTTGCTGGCTAGACCTACTCGATGATAATGGGGATGGTACCTGGTACTTGTTAAAGTCCATGCATTGTAATTTGCTGAATCATTGTGTGCCGGGTTTGGATTTTCATTTTCAATTTATCATTGCTTCCATGCTTTTTGAAATGATTGATCTGATTCTATAATTTTTTTAGTTTTTTATTGTTTTTTAAGAATAAGGTTAAATTCAAAATAGTATTTGTGTCACTTGTAAATTGCTGATTGTGTCTGCATGTATGTCTTTACTGTCTCTTTAATCATCAAGGATTTGGTTTTGAGATTTCTCAAGAGAGCTGCAGGCAATCTGCAACAACCGTTCAAAGTAATAGTTCCAAGTAGAAAACTTCCTATCAATGACAGGAGAAGGATATTAGCTAAGCAGCTAGGAGACTTTGTACATATATATGGCAAGGTAAGTTGTCATACTAAAATAGGCTTTGATGGGTACATATTGGTATACATGTATATGTTACTTCAATCTGGTAGGACATTTGCCAACCACAATCAATGGCATTAATACAAATCTGTGGGTGTAAGGCATATTAATTTATTCATGATTACTTGAATATAGAAGTAGATCAACTCTGTATGAATGACATCATTGATTTCAGTGATACAAATATCTATTATCATAATGTAAATTTAAACGTTTGTTTCACCGTCATATCAAGCAGTGTGATTTTTAATTTTTTTTTAATTTGATGTTGTACATGGTATAATATACAAACTACAGAGGGTTCTGAAACCAAAATAAGTGTGTATATGTCTTTCTCATTCAAGGAAACTGAACAATTACAGCAGAGGAAGAGAATAGACAGAAAATATGTTAGCAAAGATGCAGATCACCTAGATAGTTTTGATGAAGATAAATTCAAATCATTTATAAATGTTGCAAGGTAAATAAAACACTGTCTGATTATTTCATTTTAAAGGACTTATAATTAAAGTCAGTTGAGTATATTTAGCCATGGAATGATGGTCCTCTTATTTTATACAGTGAAAGTGAATTGGAAGAAGTGTTGACAGTCTACACTAAAATGAATAAATCAGCCAGTATATTCCTTGGAACAAATTCCAAATCTACGAGTGACTTGAAAGGCCACTCTTCCAGCATTGCTCAGGGTCCCAGCCAATCACTACTACAAAGAAGAAGCAGTACAAGTGAACTACATAAAGTTGGAATTGCAGAGAAAGAGAAAGGTATGGCAGAATTATTTGTATTTTTAAAATCTATGAAAGCTGATATTATGTAAAGTTTAATAATTTGTACACATAATCCACTCCACAAACTGCAGTAGATCTACATGTATATTAGTCCAACACAATTTAGCAATATCACAAACTATCCAACACAATACGATGATAAATCACCTTATATATCAAATATATAATCAAATGTCATTATTTCAAATGTTATTTCAATGGACAATTCTTTAATTGTGAAGATAAATCATATGTTTACGTAATAATTGTTCCCTATTTTGTTTAGGGATTTTCTTTTACAGTCTCAATACTGAGAGTTTGTCCAAAAAACATTACTACATTGAGATTGCCAAACAGCACATTACCTTAGATTATCTGCGCTTGGCATTAAGCACTAGACAAGTGCAGTGAAATCAAATGTAGCACCCTCAGTGTCAATTAAAAGGGAAATTTTGATACACAGCAATTCATATAGAAGATTTATCCAAGCGTTGGATAATTACACATTTCTTACAGTTGGCATAAATGCAATATAATAATTAATTCACATACTGGCATATCGCAATGGATGTAGAAAGTCACAAAAACAATATTTCCTTGCATTGGATCATGTTACACCACTATTTGCATCCAACATTGCTAGTGCATTTATGAAAACTGCATATATCAGCCACGCTATCTCATCCAATTGGGAGCACTAACTGCTACAAACAAATGATTACATTGTGAGAATACCTTATTTATTTATTTGTGGAATACTGCTCACCTAAAAACAGCTTTTCAATTAAAGCAAAACAGAAATTATTTATGTCTTTTGGGAACAGTTCTCACATGATACTAGAATGAAATACACCATATACTCTACATAATGTGATAAAAACAAATGAAGAATTATGATTCCCCAGCAGAGGCAGTGTCAGGTGATATGACCAGATACAAAGCACCGCAAATGCGACCCAAATCAGCCATCATTACCCGAGAACGATTCGTAGACAGCACCACAGGTACATTGCATGGCACGCAGCAAAATAAAATGCAAGGCACAACCTTTATGGTGTGAATTGTTGCGTGATGAGTGCATTTTGTCCACTTATGCATGTTTTTGATCAATTATTCTATCTTTTTGGGTTAAATTGTAGTATTTGCATGACTTTTTTTGTTATATTGTTATCACAATAGTCACGTAATGATGTAAAGAGTTTGCGCACCCCTTCCTTGTTTTACTTCAAATTATTTGTTTGTTAAAATTAAATCTACAATATTCATACCATATTTGTTGTATTTGAAGTGCATGCACTTATGTATACACATAGCACACAGTCCGGCAATCAGTGTCATAAGCTGAGAGCTTGGTGAGCTTCCAGTGCAACTAAAAAATGACTCACATGTACCTTTTTAAAGATCCATTTCTAATAGAGCAAGTATGGTATTGAGTTTGTTATGGTGCATGTAATTTTTGTTTAAATATTCTTTATATTTGTTTCTCTGACTTATTACAGGTGATGGCTTAGTGTGTTGCATTCCGCTGACTTTGTTTCCTTACTTACAGTGTACTGTCATTTAAACTTGTCACCATCATGTCTCTGTATACAGGTGTGTGGGGGCGGTTACAGTTATAGCAAAGAAACATATACTTTCTTTCCCACAATCTGGGAGCTTGATGGTGACATGGTAATCAATCATGGTCTTGACATTGATAAAGTAATATGCTTTCTGAACTGCCTTATTTCAGACTGTCCACAGTTCTTTTTTAGTAACTGTGGTGTGTTTGATAAGTCTGTGCATTTTTATGGAGATTGCATATCGACCCTGTTATATTCTTCTAATGTCCATGCCTGTATTGAAATTAACACTGAAAAAAAAATGTCTTTTGTATGTTATTTTAGCTAATTTAGCTAATTCAGGATGTCGCTAATTTAATGAAGTATAATCTCACTATGAGATTGTTGACATGTTAGTTAAATTAAGATTTAGTTGATTCATTTATTGAGTCAAGTTTGCTGAAATGGCATGTAGAGATACATTGTACATTTATCAATTTACATTGATAAAGTGGTAACTTGAAAATGTTTTAGAAGAAGAAAAAAACAAGTATTTAAATTTATATGTACAGTGCTGATATTGCATGGTAGTTGTTATTATTTATATCTGATACTGACACAGTATTGAGCTTATCTGAAATTGTATTTATTTTGTAGTATTTAAGATTCAGTGCAAACAAATCAAGGCATCTCACTCAGAATGAATGTTTGGATTAACATCTTTTTGTTTACTTATTATTTATTAGTATATATAGCTGTAGTGCACCATAGGGTAAAAACAAAGAAAACTTACTTGAACAATAGTTTAAAACTCCCTATCAACATTCAGTACACTAGAGATATTGCCACTCTTTCAGTCTTTTGTGAGTATGTCCTCAAAGTTATATTTATTAGTGCATGCATAAAGGAAACAACTGACAATCCCAAGTATTGGTGTTAGCACACACACACATGCCATGTGCACACACAGCCACTGCACTAGACCCTAATGTTCCACAGAGCTTCTTTTCCTGAATCACATACACTTCCAAAGTTCAGTAACTGTACAGATATCAGTCTGAGTAAGCCTCTCACTCATATCACAGGGAAAATAGGTACAGCTATGTTTTTTTTACGCTCCTTTACTTATGTTTTCTAGGTGAAAACAGCACCCAGGCTGGTAAAGCCAAGATCATCGCACCTCCACCGGGTGATAACAACTATCTTCCTGCCTCCAGTGCTGCTTATGCTAGTGTGGCTAGTATCTACAGTGCCAAATTGGCAACAGTATCACGATCCCGACCCTCCTCTGCAAAATCCACTCAGTCTAACTCAGGTATTTTTCCCCCTGTAAAGGCACTGCATTTAAACAAATATATAATTGTGGTGTGGTGCCCCATTAACTGTTCGTCTAACCATTCACTGAAACATTCTAATTCTGCATGCTGTATTAAACACATTTGAGGCAAAAGATTCATCAGGGTAGTTGTGCTATACTTCCAAAACATAAACAAAAATACTTTTCTTTAACATTTGGACTCCACAAATTTGTTTTTGTTACATTTTCGTTTTGTTTTTTGTAATTTTGTCATCAGTTCTGTTTCATGCATGAAAATTTGCACTTTCCAACTTTCAATTTCTTTTCCTAGAGTTGCAAATTACTTCATTTCTTTTGCTTATAACAGTAGTTCAGTTTCTGAGATGTTATTGTCCATATGAAGGTAGATCTAAAATCTAGCATGTGTTATCTTCATACCCCTACTAGATACTCAAAGCTATGCCGTCCAGCAACACAGCACTAATGTCCATGTTTCATGTCTTCTGTCTGTGTGCTTACTTGATGGTTGTAATGTTGCTTGCTGTGTTTGTTTGTTTGTTTGACTCCCTTGTTCTATTCATAGTATTAACTTGGTTTAATTCTCTTTCACTTTTTTTCTGGGACTGTGACTTTTTTGTTTCTCCCCCACGTTTGTTGAACCACACCTGTACACAGGGATCAGCCTTAAAAGCTTCAGTCGACCCAGCTCTGCGATTACTGTGTACCGAGATAATACTGGTGGAGAAATAGGTATAGAGTTTACTAGCATACTAGCACTCTAGTTTATTTTGTAGTGACTTAATTGTTTCCCTCCCTTGTCCACTCACATTTGATTTAACCCCCATATTTGTTTTTTTATTAAACTCAGTGTTTTGTTTACCTGTTTACATGTACATATCTCCCCATATATACTAATCCTTTGTTTATTACTCTCTGTGTGACAGGACAAGTGTGGTGTTCACAACTGCTGAGTTCAGTTGTTTTGACTTTTTTTTAATGATGTGATTGTTGGCACTAACCGTGATATTTCCAGCTACTGTTCTGCAAATAACATGACATCACAACATTATCATCAATCGTTTCTAATCATTTCATTCCATTCCATGTCATTTTGCTTTTCCCTTCCTTGCTCCATTTCAGGTCCTCTGTGTATATCCACTTGTTCATTCATACCATTCCTATATCATGGTGTTAGTTCATTGTATACAAACATTTTTTGCATGGGTTTTTCTCTTTCTCCAGCGACGAGACACTTTTCTGAAGACAGTGAACAAGCCATTCAAGACGCTTTACAGAGGTTGGCCAGGCGGCAGGCGGCTCGTCAGTATTCCTCATCCAGCATGCAAAACCAGAATTTACTAACTCATGTTTATCTTGGACAGTACTCTGGCAGTACTGGTAGCTTAGACAATCCCACCTGCCCCGGCAGTCTGTCAGCATCTCGTGGTTCAGCAAATGCAGGGCAAAGGTCACGGATGCACAGTTGGGAAGGGATGAAGAGCCATAGTACTACCAGTGTCACAGGAACATATCCAACCACAGCTCAGAACTATGTCAACCGACAGGTGATGTCCCAGGAACAGATATCACAGACCCAATCACAGCTACATGACTTGGCTAAAATGAGTCAAGAGCGGATGAAACAACAGCAGTCACAACCACATTCTGAGGTGAGGAGATCTAGCGTTAGTGAGTCAACCCGGAGTAACCCCACTAGCGCAGGTACCGCCACCTCTAGCACTCCTCTAGATGGAGCACCTGAATCTAACAGTTATGCATCAGAAGGTAATTCACTGGCCCCTAGTGAGTTAGCCAATGCCTATAATACTGTCATAGGAGTGGCACCTCAAAATAACTATCAGCCATCACCTGGTAGCTATCAGTTACAATATGCACTACAACAACAGCTACAGCAGCAGCAGACTCATCAACATCAACAACATCATCAGTCCAGACCCAGTACATCGCAATCAGCATCTAGATCAGTTACCGCCGCACTTCAAAATAGACCGGCCACTGCTGGCAAGTCTCAGGAGGCACATTATGACCACACTAGATCTAGACATCAGGCTAAGGTGGGTGAATAGAACTGGCTGGCTGGTGTGTGGAAAACTAATCTCTATAAAATCAATAACACCCTAAAATTGCGTGCATATTAAAGGTAAATTGTCAGGTGTCAATAATTAAGGGCTAAGTATCATTAATCTTATTTATACTGTGGTTAAATTAACAAGTATTCATGCTTAATAGTGTGCTCAGCTTGCTATGCTTATTCACAGCTGTTAAATAAATTCATAAAATCTAATATTGTACATTGTAATGTAACACTACTTATCCATGCATCATTCACTCATTAATTGCATAATATTAATTGATATCATTAATTGTAATTGTAACTGAAATCTCCCAAATATATGGACTGATATATGATATTGTAAGAGACTATGTTAAATTCCACCCATTCAACTGAACTCTCCCTTAAATGCTAGCTTTGTAATGTCAAAAGGTACCGGGATGGAGTCTAAAATTTGAGTAAATGCTTGACTGTATTGCTTACATGTTTTGTGTCTTTCCACTACCACACCATCCAAATCATTCATCGCCATTCTCACAGGCCTCTAACATTAACTGATTTGTTCAGTGGAATGTGTCATTCATAAAGACATGCATTTGAGAATACATAACTTGGTATGAAATCAAAGAAAAATTACATGTCTAGGTTTATGGACATTGTGTTAGTATGGCACCATAAAGCAGATATTATTACTATGAATTAATCTTTAGGTTAACCATTTGTATATTTACCCCGAGAAGTATTAGTAAGTGTTTGAAGTGACCAAAAATCACCTAGTCCAGTTCTGGAAATCACTAATAGTGATCAGCCTGCTTGCTTCAGCTTATTGTGTGATATATTGCATTTCACATGTAGAAGTCCTTTTATGGTTGTGTGACCAGCAATTGTTTTTTCTTTCATTTTTAGATTGCACAGGCACATAACAACATGTCTCAGCAGTTATCACCACAGCAGTTGTTGACACCTAAGCCACCTATTCAGATGTCATCTGGGAGTAGAAAACCAGTCAGTATTCAAAGACTTGCAAGGTAGGAGAACATTTATTATTAGAGGTGACTCCAGCAAGTCACTGTATATACAATCTATCATTATACTGACTACATTAATATATACATTTTACTTTTGTTACCAATGTGGTGTTATTTTATTGTTCAGAAAACCCACCAAACTAGTTTTCATGAAAAAATTACTCAAACATTTTTGGTTTAACACATCTAAACATTTTGTTTGGTAGACATGGTAAAAAAATCTGTTGTTATAAGAAGAGTAGATATGGTTGTCGCAAATTGTTAGAAAACAATTCTGATGATTACTATTTATTTTTGATATGTTTTATCATAGATTCCTACGTAAATAGTTCCAAAATTAGTCATGCATTATTGCCATAAAGAAATAGATATGCAACAAAAAGTTGTGATAAATTTTTCACTTGTATTCTAATTAAGTTGGATCCTGCAATGGCCTTTCATGCCACACTATGTACATTTTTTTTGTGGTCAGAGAGGGTGTTACCAGTAGATCATGTCACAGGACTGATTTTATCACTATCCACCTCAGTACTAACTATAGCAATTTAAAGCGGCAATAGCTGTAACTATCAATTTTTATTTTTAATAAAACATTTTCTGCGTCATTACTGGCAATTACCTTGTCATCTTGTAAAGCTAAGCCTCTCTTTGATGGCCTGACGGATGATAATTTTATGCGTCATTTCCCATGATAATAGTCTGTATCATCTGCCATCATTTTCTATGATTCCCACCACGTGACCAATTTGCTACGACTTGACCCATAAAATTTGCCTTGTGTAGGCTTACTTTGCCCATGCAGTTGTGCCTAACACAATATTTGGACATCTTTATATAGTTACATGTATAAGTTCCACTTTAAATTAATATTTCTACCAGCATCAGCCAAAAAAATTAAGCTTCATCTGTTAATTGTGGTTTTCTCTAAGTTATTTCTGTGACTCGTACACTATCAGTGGCTCCAACCTTTTTAGTCCTCGTTCGGACGCAGTCCGAAAACGGGGACTTATGTTTTGACCTTGACCGTGCATGTGTGTGTGTGTGCGTCTGTGTGTGCGTCCGGACCTGTATTTTAGAAATGCCTGGACCAATCACAATCAAACTTCACACATACATCATACATGATATTATACATATGCATGTCAATTTGTTTCATGATCTGATTCAAGATGGCTGAATGGCGGCCATTTTTGTGCTGCAAATCATCAAAATCAAGCATTTCTCGGCTGTTTATAGATGGATTTTGTTCAAACTTGGTATATACATTAGACATTATAGGATCTTGATGCACATCATTTTGTTTTACGATCTGATTCAAGATGGCAGAATGG